AGGACAACCACAGGAGAAACCCCTTTTATGTTAGCCTATGGCTTTGAAGCAATGGTCCCAGTGGAAATTAGACTGCCAAGCCATAGGAGGCTCGTGCCAGAAACCTCGGAGCATACAACTGAACATCTTGATCTCTTGGAAGAAGTACGGGAGCAAGCCGCTATAAAAGTGGCCTCCTACCAAACTAAGACAGCAAAACATTTTAATAGCAAAGTCAAGGCTCGGAGGTTCAGAGCTGGCGATTTGGTCTTGAGGAGGGCCGAAGCGGCAGGCCACCCCCCAGGGAAGCTCGGGCCCATCTGGGAAGGGCCCTTTGAGGTCATACGACAGGTTCGCAAAGGAGCATACAGCCTGAGAGACACTTCGGGTAGACCTCTTCCGAGGCCCTGGAATGCCGACAATCTAAAAATATATTACAAGTAACATTCCCGATGCCGTTTAGGAGATTTTCTTTTTCTGCATGTTATTTTTGGTTCTTCGAGCCTGCATTTTATTTCTAGTTTAGCGGGCCTGCGTGCCCATGCATGTTTTCCGTTTTCTTTTGTAATGAACTACGTTCGGCTTGATCCCGTTTGGGTACGTAGGCAGCTTGGATACATTATAAATCCAAGTCCAGTCCAAACAATTAATAAATCCAAACCCCGGGTATAACAACCCGATAGTTTGCTTTGCGTCCAGCAAGCCACCTAAAGCTTTGCCCCGAGCAAGCATGTAAGCCTTGCCCTCGAGCAAGCCGTCTGAAGCCTTGCCCCGAGCAAGCATGTAAGCCTTGTCCTTGACAAGCCGCGCCTTGCCCTCGAGCAAGCCCCTTTAAGCCTTGTCCTTGACAAGCCAATGTAAGCCTTGTCCTCGACAAGCCAATGTAAGCCTTGTCCTCGACAAGCCAATGTAAGCCTTGCCCTCGAGCAAGCCCCTTTAAGCCTTGCCCTCGAGCAAGCCCCTTTAAGCCTTGTCTTTGACAAGCTAATGTAATCCTTGCCCTCGAGCAAGCCGTCTAAAGCCTTGCCTCGAGTAAGCACCAAAATCTTGGAGCTCATAATCAGCACATCAAAATAGTGCAGCACAAGTATAAATACCGAGGACATATATTCCGACCATATATTCTTGTATTTTTTTCCAAGCCTGAAAATGAAAGCTCGGGAAAAACTCATGTACAGAGGTCGGTCACAATTATTCGTACTCCTCGGGGACTACCATCCCTTGAACTTAATCCTCGAGTGTTAAGTGTGTAGAAAAGTACACTGTCCTCGGCATTATCACTTGTTTAAAAATTGAGTTATTCTCAATCGTCGAGATGATTAATTAGTCGTCGAAAATAATTAATCTTATTTAGTCCTCGAGGTAACTTGTCTACGTGCTCGGGGTTCGCACTTGGATTTTCCAAGATAATTTTATTATTTAGTCCTCGAGGTAACTTGTCTACGTGCTCGGGGTTCGCACTTGGATTTTCCAAGATAATTTTATTATTTATTCCTCGAGGTAACTTGTCTACGTGTTCGGGGTTCACACTTGGATGTTCCAAGATAATTTTATTATTTAGTCCTCGTGGTAACTTGTTTAATGCTCGGGTTCAACAATGATGTTCCCAAATAATTTTACAGTTTGAGTCCTCGGGATAAATTTTGTGTACGTTATAATATTCAGAAATATTTTCACAAATTAGGTCCTCGAGGTGTTTCAACTACTCTAGGCGTCGAGTTATTTAACCATCTTACGTCGGGCTATTTGAATGATCAAGATACATTGACACAGCAGAAGGAAAATACTTGGTCGAGTAAAATACATGTTCAAATTACAAAATGGAAGGGCTATCATCATACGAAAAAACAAAAACTAATCTAAGTCCTCGGCCCTTTCTCCCGAGGCTGTGCTCCCCTGCTCCTCCACTGTGTCCTTGCCGTCAACGTCGACCTCTTGGTCCTCGACGGTTTCCTCGGACTCTGACAGCTCAAGGGTATCAGCAATCTCGGGGATGTTCTTTAGATCCCCGGGATTAGCGTCGGGCTTCGATCTCAAAAATGCCCGAGCTTCCTTGAAGGCATGGAAGTACGAGCCCATGGCATACTCTCCCTTAAGGCCGTTAAACTCCTCGGACATTTTAAAGTCCTCAATCGCGACCCCTCGACCTTCAGCCAGGCGAGCCTCAAAATCAACCTTCAAACGCTCGATCTCGAGCTTTAAACCTTCAGCCTCACCCTTAGCAGTTCCAGCCTCTTCTCGAGCTCTCTGGGCATCATTTTTCGAGTCCTCGAGCTCCTTCTGAAGAAGAAAGCGTTCAGCCTCCAAGTCGGCTATCCTCTTCTCCTGTGCTCGAGAAGAGTCCTCGAGTTTGGTGGTCTTTTGGGCCTCATCTTTCCCCTTCAGAGAAAGGCCTCGGGCAATACTCAAAGCCTACACCATATAAACCCGAGCTTAAGTAATCACAGCGTTTAAACCTTTTTAAATCTTGTATTTAAACAAAGTAAATTGGGCGAGCTTACCTTCAGAGTAAGGGATTCCATAGCCTTCATGCCCTCATCAAAACCAAGGTCCTTCCCATATTTGTCCACGATGCTTGACACCAGAGGACACCAGTCAGGCTCCTGATTCTGGAAAGAGGGCATAGGCCTAACCTCATCATCGAGGTCAACAACCTCGGGAGTACTCCTTGGCCGAGGATGTGATCGAGGTGGACCAGTAGGAGTCTCAGTGGCCTGTGTGGTCGGGGTATGTCCCCGAGCAGAAGTTTCCCCAGGCCCACTTCTAATATTCTCAGGGCCTGGGTCCCGAGCTCTCTTCTTCCCTCTCTTCTGCCCTGGAGCTCGAGCTTGAGGGGCCTTTGACTTTTTGGTCACGGCCTGTCTGAGGGCTGAAGGATCAAAAGTCATCTCTGCAAAAAAGAGCAAGTCATTAGAACGAGCACAATTATAAGTTCAAGGACAGATCAGTAAAGAGGAAGGCAAAATGGTCCTACCCTCAGTGCCTTTCACATCCTCGAGATCGAGAACGTCATCCCCGAGGATGTCATCTATATCATATACAAGAGGCTCGAGGTTCTCTAACATTACCCTATGCCTCTCTAAAGATTCAAAATAGGCCTGGCCTTCACAAAATCAGGGAGTGTCGGGCAAAACCCACCTAGGGCTAAAAGGAAGGTCGCTATCCTGAGGTATGACATAAAACCACTTTTCTTTCCAACCTTTTAAAGAACTGGGCATCCTCGATAATCTAAATCCTCCTCGGGATGAAAGGTAAGCAAAACAAGTATATTGAGGAAGCTGTTTCAGGTCGAACACCATCCTATAGAGATCGACGTATAGGTTAATTCCTAGGTATCTACAGGCTATAAAGAAATAGGTAAGCATCCTCAACCATTTGGCACGAGCTGTCCAGGGCTCATATTATGCTCGACCAATAAGGCCACAAAAAAGGGATGCAGAGGCCATCGAAATCCCCCCTTAAGTGAGTCCCTAAAGATCATGAACTCTCCATCCCGAGCAAAGGCCATCCTATCCTCTACCCCTGGCGTCCTAACGTCGCATTTGGGCATGAGCCCATGCTCCCTAGCCGTCGATATTGCTAGATGTTCTTTAAATTTACAGGGGACCTCGGGATACCTAAAAGGGGTCGGGATACTTTGTGCCCGAGGTTGGGCATTAATTGGGACAGCCATAGGTATGATTGAGCATCCTATGTCCTCAGGATTACTCCTCGAGGATGATGAGGACGAAGTGTCGCTACTGCTACTACTAGACATCCTGACCTAGGTAAAAAATACCTAAAGAATAACTTAAAATCTCGAGGTCTTACCTTAAAGTCGACGCCTAAAAACTCAAAGTCCGATCCCGACGATTAGCGAGAGAAGTTTACTGAGAGTAAAAAGTGAAAAATGAAATGAGGGGATGGTATTTATAGGCAACAGGAGCAGGAAGCCCAAAGGTCACTACCCCGACCGTTAGATCTGGACACGTGTCCTACATCTAACCCTACCAATTTTTACCGCCTTTTCCTATTCTAGGGCTGACGTCAGTACACGTCAGCTTTCTGATCAAGCACAGGTGTTCGGGAATCCCCGAGCTAAAACTTGAGCTTTTATTTCTAGTCTCTTTGCATCATATCCTCAAGCATATCTTCGAGCATATATGCACGGGGGCCTATGATGGTGACATTTTCCAATATCCCCGATCAGTATATCCCGAGGACTAATTTTGATAAAGTTG